TTGCAGACAAAATACTAACCAAGTCCTTTTTTTGTGGACTTGTAGTAACCCTGACCTTCCAAGGTCCAAGGAATAGAGACCTTTGCAAGGAGTGGTGTATATTGCACTGGATTTGGGCCAAACAGGTAAACAATAACAGAAAGTGGTCCCTGAGGAGCCATCTTTTACACACCTGTCTCTCGATTCGTTCAGCCTTGGTGGACACACACTCGTGTTCTTTGTGTAGGTTGCTGGTGCACAGCCAGCAGACAAACATCTTGCACTGGCGACAGTAGAACTCCTGTAGGTACTTGTGCTGGGCGCAGATCTTCTCCGCCAGGTTGCTGGTCGGCGGGATGAGCTCATGCTTTTTGAGGGACTTCTTGGTCTGGTGGGGCTTCAAGTGGGTATCGCAGAAGGAGCTCATACAGACCAGGCAGCTCTTCAGGGCGGCACGCTGCTCCCCTTTGCACATGTCACACAGAGCTATTCCATGGGGTATTGCTGGTTTGGGTCCAGAGGAGAACCCAGCACCCTCTGATTTAGGGGCTCCTTTGCGGAGCTGCTCCACAGCCTCGGCAAGCATGGTGTTCCTGGACAGGGAGGGCTTTGGGCAGAAGGTCTGGCGGCACTGGGGGCAGCTGTAGATCCCTTTGGGGTCATCCTTTGTCCAAAAGTCCTTGATGCAGGCCATGCAGTAGCTGTGTCCACAGGGTATGGTGACCGGATCATTTGGAAGATCCAGACACACAGGGCAGTTAAACTGCTCCTCTGTCCACAGCTTGGTACTCATTGTGATGCAGCCAAACACGACCGGAGGCAGAAGAGTGAAGATCAGGGATGTTTAGCTGAGTTTCTCCAAGATCCCAGAGGACAGCGTAAAAGAGAGCAATCCAGATATAAAGGGAGGTTGTGTGGTGTGTGGGTTCTCAGGAGGAAAAGGCTATGTCTCAGGTGAGAGTAGCCAAAAAAAGAAGAGAATGGGTGGGGCCAAACTCACCAGGCAGGTCTAGCCAGGAAAACAGGTGTTGGCAGAAAACTGTTGAATGCATGAAGGGAAAGGTGTGAGTGTCCGGTCATTGTCATGATCCTTCGATGACGGACTAGAAACCTTTCAGATATTCATTAGATTTTTTTTTTTTTTTTTTTTTTTTTTTTT